ATCGACGATAATATGCCCACTCACGTAAGCAATCGTCTCCACGGATGGTATCGACAAGTCCCCACTGATGGTATCGACAAGTCCCATGGCATACAAAGCGGCCGCATACGTAATCGGAAAGTGCATTCAACAGCATTCACGGGAACGGATAAAAGCAAAAACACATGCATGCGAGAGAAAGACTCAAAGAAAAAGACTGAAAAACAAAGAAGACGAGAAAAAAAAACGAGACAGCGAACTACGTGCTGTATGCATAAAGAAAAAGAAGATGAGAAAAAAATAGGGGGGGGAGGTGAAAGTGACACGCGAGGTTCGAACTCGCGAGGAACGTCAGGTAGCGATCCATTTGAGTGCATCACGGTCTCGAGGGGCATCACGTCAAATTTATTGCCGCTGTGACACAAACCTTCTATAAGAATACGTCACGTCCATCGACGATTAAGCGACCAAAAACGCCCGGACAGCAATTGATGCATGCCAAAAACTCGTCAACCTGCCGTAGAATTGTCTATGCGGAAGTGATCTCAATGAGAAAAAAAAAACAAGGACACGCACCAGCACGGGACGCGCCAATAGTGGAAGCACTCGTCCGTGCTGTTGGCGAGTGGAAGTTAACCGATCTCAACGCAACGAAACACGAAGTCATACATGTATCAGCACGGGATGCGCCAATGAGTGGAAGCACCCGCGCTGTTGGCGAGTAGAGTTAACCGAATTCAACGCAGCGGTAGAAAAATACCACAAATCATGCATCAGTACGGGACGCGCCAATGAGTGGAAGCACCCGTGCTGCATATGTGATGTCAGCCTCAGCACGGGACGCGCCAATGAGTGGAAGCACTCGTGCTGTTGGTGAGTAGAGTTAACCGATCTCAAAAAGAAAGAACAAAACGCCGTACATGTATCAGCACGGGACGCGCCAATGAGTGGAAGCACCCGCGCTGTTGGCGAGTAGAGTTAACCGAATTCAACGCAGCGGTAGGAAAATACCACAAATCATGCATCAGTACGGGACGCGCCAATGAGTGGAAGCACCCGTGCTGCATATGTGATGTCAGCCTCAGCACGGGACGCGCCAATGAGTGGAAGCACTCGTGCTGTTGGTGAGTAGAGTTAACCGATCTCAAAAAGAAAGAACAAAACGCCGTACATGTATCAGCACGGGACGCGCCAATGAGTGGAAGCACCCGCGCTGTTGGCGAGTAGAGTTAACCGAATTCAACGCAGCGGTAGGAAATACCACAAATCATGCATCAGTACGGGACGTGCCAATGAGTGGAAGCACCCGTGCTGCATATGTGTCAGCCTCAGCACGGGACGCGCCAACGAGTGGAAGCACTCGTGCTGTTGGCGAGTAGAGTTAACCGATCTCAAAAAGAAAGAACAAAACGCCGTACACGTATCAGCACGGGACGCGCCAATGAGTGGACGCACCCGTGCTGTTGGCGAGTAGAGTTAACCGAATTCAACGCATCGAAAACGAAGTCGTACACGTATCAGTACGGGACGCGCCAATGAGTGCTGTTGGCGAGTAGAGTTAACCGATCTCAAAAAGAAAGAACAAAACGCCGTACACGTATCAGCACGGGACGCGCCAATGAGTGGACGCACCCGTGCTGTTGGCGAGTAGAATTAACCGATCTCCACGCATCGAAAACGAAGTCGTACACGTATCAGTACGGGACGCGCCAATGAGTGGAAGCACCCGTGCTGCATATGTGTTGTCAGTTTCAGCAAGGGACGCGCCAATGAGTGCTGTTGGCGAGTAGAGTTAACCGATCTCAAAAAGAAAGAACAAAAACGCCGTACACGTATCAGTACGGGACGCGCCAATGAGTGGACGCACCCGTGCTGTTGGCGAGTAGAACTAACCGATCTCCACGCATCGAAAACGAAGTCATTCACGTATCAGTACGGGACGCGCCAATGAGTGGAAGCACCCGTGCTCATATGTGTTGTCAGTTTCAGCAAGGGACGCGCCAATGAGTGGAAGCACCCGCGCTGCGCACAAGTATACTGCAGAGTGGTGCTGTAGATAGAGTCTTTGCTACTGCTTTCTTGGAGCAGCCATGGAACCCGTTGTACGCGACGTGTACGCGACAGCAGTCTCTAGGATGTACGTGACAGCAGGCTCTGGTGTGCAGGTTGACAGGAGAGCCTGCCTGCTCGGACAAAGCAGAAGCTTCACCCCCCCCCCCCCCGTGGTATGCTTGGTCAACCTCACGCGTGCTTTGCTATGTCCTAAAATATATTTACGCGTGATAACAAAACCCACGAAAACTTCGGGTAACGCCCTGACCCAACCACTCGACGCCCGTTGTTTCGACGACGCAGAGTCTAAAGACCAACGACGCAAGTACGAACATGAGCCTGGAGCTGATACGCGTAAGGGGACAGAATCGCCGCGCGCGACACCATTTGACAGTCAGAAGGTTAGATCAGAAAATACTGAGGTGGACCCCCGTAGGCCAGGGTTAACTAGGCACACACGTATGCGCTGGAGGATGAAGGGGACTCGGTCAACAAGAAACAAATCTCGATGAACAGTTTAGGTCCAGACTACCCACTCTTCGTCCTCCTGGTACGAGCCGGGGGGACTTGGTCATTCGGTGGACGGAAGATACCTGTCCCCGCAACGCCAAACCAGGGTCGATGATGGTATCCCGGCGAAACGTGAGGTCGTAACACGTCTCAAATCGCGCGCCGGGCTCGTACTATTTTCGCGTCGCGCCAACATGCACACCTCGTGACACCGTTCGGGTGTAGAACAGCAGGCAGCGTTTGTCGTAGGTGCGTAGCCGGTACTCCACCCGGTCTATCAACGCCAGAACAGCCCCACGGCTGCCCTGTTTTATTCTTAATATCAGCATTGTTGAATCGATTTCGGGCGGCGAGCATCTGACGCGCAGACCCATACGCCGGACCCCCACACGTCCTGTGCCTGCACATCTTTCCCAGCCCCGGGGTCCAGAGGAAGAAGCGAACGAGGAGAGACGCGACGATGTCAGGGCGCGCATCCTCCGCTGCCAACATGGCCAAGCCCTGGCGAAGGAAACTTGCGACATCCTGGTCGACATGTGGCACAAGGGAGAACTTAAAGATGGCACGGATAGCTTCGGTGACGGGTCTAGGGGTATCGACAATGGTCTCTTTTACGGATTCCTTTCAAGAGACAACGCCCCCCCCTACAATGCTCGTAGGAGAGAGGACGATGGCGACTCCTTCTGGAGCAAGGGCGAGGCGAGACGAAGGCATAGCGACCGCGTGTTCCGGGCATGCTTAACGGCCGGTTTTCCGGTGCTTATTGAGGGAGATATCACGCGGTCTGTATGGGGGCTGTTAGTAAAGCAGCTGTTGGGAAGCACATCTCGAAGCTGGGGAACCTTGGAGTGAGGCGCGGAACGTCCATGTTTAGCTTGTCGGAGGAGTTCGTCGACTGCTGGGTCGAAGGGAACGTGGGGGACAACATACTATGAGATGCATTCGGTGTCAAGACGACATGGACGATTCAAAATTTCGAGGTGAGCTAGCCTTGAACGCCAAGGTTTAGTCAGTGTAGCTGTAGCTGTATCTGTAGTGGGTTAGGGGTAGGGTAGGGACAAACGGTCAATTGCAAATTGGGGAACCGTTTGAAGAGCAAGACAGCACACTTGGCGCAGGCTCGCGGTGGGGCTAATGGTATCGTGAACGGCCCGCCCCATCCACGTGTGTTTGTGTACGGTGCCTGTTGTGCAGGAGAACCAGAGGGTGGACGCTTGTTCGTATCAGACGATAGAATGCGCCGCCGCAACAGGTATCGTGCGCAAGACCAGAATGGGAGCCTTGTGCAACCCTGACGGAGCTGACACAGCCGGCACTGACAATACGGGAGGCGAACTCACTAATCCGGTGTCGATAGGAGAAGTTTTGTGGGCGGGAAGCGAGGTAACGGCATTCGCCATGAGGCGCGGTAGTGTCACCCACATTCACGTGGACGCCCTCGAGGTTAACGAGAAGCCCTTATACCTTCCTGCAGCCGGTGCCATGCGGTCTGTGAATCGGGGAGACCGCGGCCATGCGAACCGAGCAATAGTAGTTTGCGCCCATGACATGGACCGAGTAGTACGGCTCTTCAAACTAGACGTACGCAAACCTCCGGCGATGCAGTACGGCGGGACCGTTTCAGACCTCCGACGGTTGGCCGCCGAGTTGAAGGCCAACAGCATCGGGTTTGTTGTCATCGATTTCCCGGAAGCATGCTCGTATGCGATTCCGGGAAAATGCGCACACATGTTCGTCACACTGCGGTTAGTTGAGACGTGCGCTTGGCACCCGGCTCTGCCCTTCTGAAGAAAACGTCACCCCGATCGTGGCCCGGATTCCAGGAGGGTTGTGGTCGGCATATCGACGAGATTCTCCGTAGGTGTGTGTGCTGTTGTAAGTAGAAGCGCGCACTGCAGTCAGTGGGCAGTGCTGGGTGCGTTCCACTAAGGGTGTTTGAAGAGGTTCGCCGTTGCTGTAACCACGATGCCGCAGAGGTCGACATGATCATGTTAGTGCGCAAACAATCTAGCGTGCCTATGTATTTAGCAGCGGATAGCCTCCCCCGAGATGCTCGTTTTCATGCCCGGGACACCCCCGACTCGGACAAGCGATCCCTATAGCCAATTAATTTGCTGGCAGTCGCTGCAGAGGTGGACAATTGGTGTGGAGGTTGACGATCACGACGAAATAAATAGACCTTCGACGACGACGAGGTATTGCCTCCGCCACGATGTCCATCACCACCACGTGGTGAACAGCGCGCAGACCTCGGTTAACGCGCCACGGCAAGCGCTAGATGTTGGGCCACGACTAGGCTCGCTGCTTGGGCTGAGATCGGCTTATGCCTGAGACCCGACCGTTGGCTATGCGAACGAAAACTGACTGATCAAAGAAATAACAAGAAACCCTTGTATTCATTACTAGAGGGGAAACCCTTGCCGGGTGAAACCCCCCCCACACGCATTCATCCACATGCATGACCAGGGCATGATAGGGACATCGGTGTCGTGTAATGACACCACCAACAGCCCGTCCACTTTACACGGTTGCCCATCTCTCGCCATCACGGCTCGCCCAGGAAAAGGAACAGAAAGCTGAAAAAAACTCAAACCCCGTCTCAACGAAAACCATAGGAAACCCCCAAACCAAACGGTCCCAATGCCACATGCGAAGTGCTGGGGATTGACCATAGATTGGTACATCAGTACTACGCCAACCGACGACAAGATTGTACTGTGACGCTCAAACTCCGAGTTGAAGGACCTCCGAGAACGCGCAGTCGGAAAGGGGGACCCGAAGGCCACACCCGTTACTGGTACAGGCATACCGACGTGCATGGTCCATTACGCATGCTACTCGGCGCACGCGACCCGTGGTCCCCCCAAAACCACCAAGAACACACACCATTAACTACCGCCGCTACAACAGCGAAAAACAAGTCGAACACAAATAAAACGTGCTGCCAACAATCCCCCATGCAGGAACGCATCCCCAACGACTATATTAAATAAACGACAAGGATCCGTCCCCCGATCCGGCTACAGGCCCTGGTACCAGCCCCCCTCTGCCCCCCCCCACACAGACACCCATGCAAACACGAAAACAAACAAATATAGAGGGTGTTCACCCAAACGAAACGTCAGTGGAAAGGCAACAAACGAAACGGCAAGGAAAACGATCTCAGCATCGCGGGTGGCGAAGCCACCGTGGTTTAGGAATGCTGCCGTCTTCCGCCGTCTCGGCCGAAGACGGTGTGTTGCGGCGCCGAGGTTACATATTCCACAACTTACATAGCCGTAGCATACCGAACTCAAGTGGAGTCGGTCGGTTTTGGACCTGTAATAGGCCGGCCGTGTACTCGACAACCTTCAAGGCATGCGCTCCGTGTGCGAATGCACAGACTTAGCTCGAGATGGAAAACAATCCCGCACGACGTACAGAACTATCGTAGAGCGACAAGCCCTACGAACGCGACGCTAAGCGACATCGGTCGCCACGAAGCGAACACACATCCCCGGTGTGCACGCTCCCGACAACATCCGTCTCGAGGAAGCAAGACTTGCACGGACCAAATACAGAGACAAGCCTACCACGTTACACCTCGTGTACCCAGACCTCACGCGGGAAGGATTCGTCACCCTCTCCTATTTTTTGGTTTTTTTCTGGTTGACGTTGTTGCCTCCCTTCCCACTCCTGGCATTATCCAACGTATATGAGTCGTCGTAACCCGCGAATCTTTCGAGCTCCTCCTTCCACCTGCATATGTAGGGTGGGGAAGGACCAAAGCATGTCGCGATCATGCCATACGTCGGGAACGTTCGCGAAGGGGAGGGACCAAGGATACGGCAGCAGGGCCTAAGAAAGAAAAGGGAAACGTGTCGTGGTTTCGAGGACGTAGCCTCTCGCGCAGAACGTGAAATAGTGTGCCCATGTGTTGCCGGAACTACAATCAATTACGTCACCCGGGCAACAGATCGGTACAAGTACCTGCCCATGTTCGTGGTGGACACCGCTAGCATCCTGTAAATGGTCGTAGGGAAGCGCCGTGCCTTGCCATGTCGAGAGCTTTCCATCTCGAGCGCCGCGTCCACCAACTCTCGCAAACCTCCTACGGTCTGGGACCTGTTGTGCACGAATTTCACATGCGCCGATGCCAGCCTCGCCACAGGTTCATCTGCCGACAGCATCGTTCGTTGATGCGGATGTTCGGGAAGGGCGTGTGTATATGAGGGTTACGTACACCACTTGCTTTAGAGGAATAAGGTACGAATACAGACGACATGCAGGAAGACTGTGGATGAAGAGTATGGGGCATGCTCGGTCCACGCTACACACGGTCGGGACGGGACGACCATGCTTCGAAGCTATGCACTATGCCAAAAAAGAACGAGGAACACCCGCCGCGCATGAAATAATTCCACGACGGTAACCTGTGCTCTCACCACCTTCGTAGTCGTCGGCGTTGTGACCCGCCACAGAGCCTCCTGTTGTTCCCCGTTGCCGACTTCCGGTGCGGCTGGGATCGCAGGTGCCAGTGCCCTCGCGGGCGGAATCGGAGCGGCCGTGTGCCCGACTAGGACTACGCTGGCGACGCTGTGCGGCAGATGAGTGTGACGGGTAATATGTCGCGCCACCGTCGCCGTGCGGCGAATGGTTGTCTCGGGAACCATATCTCCCATGGCGACGCTCGCGGCTCCGCGAACGCTCCACACGGTACCGCTCGTGCCGCGCGCAGCTTTCGGAGGAGCGATGGTAAGGTAGGCGCTCGCGACTGTCGTAGTGCTGGTGTTGGTAGGGCCCGTGGTGACCGTAGTAGCCCGGTTGGGGCGAGTGCTGACGATAATCCCGGCGGCTTGGCTGTTCTAGGCTAGGATAAGCTCGTGAACCTGACGGTGAGTACCCAGACCGTTCGCGGCTCCTTGAACCGCGCCTGGAGCCGTAGACGTGACCACCACCGGGGTAGTAACTCTGGTTCGATCGAGAGGGCGATCGTAGGTTGCGCATGTCACCGCCCCAGCCACTACCGCCTCCGTGACTCGACCGGCGAAGGTCTTGGTATCGGCTGGGAGACCAAGGTCGGTGTGCTCACGAACCTCCGTACCACACTGACGGAGGGCGAGCGCTGGCGTAGTGGTTTCCCTCATGTACTCTCTGTGGCCCACGGCTGTCCCGGAGGTGTTTCTCCTCACGCTCAAAGAGGTGGCCGTCCGCGGCCCTGCCCGCTGACGCATTCCCGGGCTCTCCAGCTTTGGACGACTCCGATTTATTGCTTTCGCTGACAGCGCCCTGGTGCAGCATGTTTGAAGGTAGGGGCGACATGAAACTACGCACATTCGAAACAGACGGACGTCCACATCCTTTCGTAGTAACGACATAAGGGCGCAGTGATGGTCTTACATCTACTGCGACCCGGATAGACAGGCGGTGTAAATGGTTTTTGACAGATGCTTTGGGATGGGCCGTGGGTTAGGCAGCCGGGAGGAAAAAGTACACGCTGCAGGACGAGGTGGGTGGCGATGCGGAGGCGGACCATTTATAAGAGCAACGCTGTCAAAGTCCCATAACACTCGTGCTGCTATATTTCTGATCACCTGCAGGGAGCGGTCGTTTTGTTTCCTCTTGTCTGCCCGCTCGGCCTGGCCTTGCTCCACGACTCCCCGCGCTTCAATAAAAGTGCCCCACGTGCGGGCCTTTTTTTCCTTCAGTTCCTCCGTCGCCCTCTCCCTCGCCTCTTTTTCTGCTTCTGACTCTTTCGCTCGAGGAAGTTTGGTGCGTTTCTTCTTCTGGGGTTTCCCACTCGCATTCGCACCCGTGGCGGCAGGGCTATTCCCAGCCGCCACCCCCCGTTTTTTTTGGGAGCCGTGGCGGAC